TAAAATATAATTTTTGAAGACTGCTAATTATTTGAGAAAAAATTGGCATAATTCTATTTCAGTTTGCATCTATTTCTGTATTTATAAAGCAGGTGTAAAGATGCACTAACATTTGGCTGATGAAGTTATAATATCAGGTCATTTTGAACTTTCAAAAAAAAATCCTCTCATTTCTTGCTCTGTAAGGATAATTAACTATGTAATGAAGTTGTTATTATACTCAGTGGAAAACATTTTGAAAATCATTTTTTCTTTTTAAACATGGTTTCAAAAAATTCAGAAGGCTTTAAATCTAACACCAATTTTGAAATTTCTTATTCAAATTCAACATACTACGTTTTATATTAAATTTATGCCAGGCTGAAGTGTTAAAAGATTGCTACCTTCCAGATCTTCCCAACACAATTTTTTTTTTTTTTTTCAGGGCAAATAACATCTGCACCTTTATCCCCACACTGGGTGGTTAGGCCTGAGACACTAACGAATCATTCTATAAAACCCAAAGGAAACAAGGGGCGAGTGCAAGTCCAGGGAATAGGTCAAGGTCACACAGAAAGGTCACTGTTATGAAAATGCTCCTGGTCATACACTTCAGCCACCACTTTGCGGCCAGCAAACCAGCACGTGTTGAGGGCCTGGATGGTCTTGTGAGTCTCAGAGGCTATGGAAAACTGCACAAAAATCTTGATATGAATTCTGCATCCTCCTCCTCGAATAATTTTAAAGTAGCTTTTTGGACCCACGCTAGAGTTTACCCAAAACAAGGAAGATTTTTACCTGGAGGTATCATACAATGTTAAAAAGTGAAATACCAATTTTATATAACTACACACACACACACACACACTTTTGTTTTTTTAAGTTGAAAAGAAATATTTTTACTTTCTTCAGTATATTAACTATCTCTAGTTGCTACCATTTGTATTTGCTTTCCAAATGACATTTGGATAAGAATCATTTTGTGATAACTTTTGTGTATTGCTAATAATAGGTTATAAAGTGTTCCTCAAGACTGCATGAAAAGCAATTACATTCAAATTGTTTTTATCAATTTTTTATGTTTTAATTTTGAACCAAGCTCAAAATTACAAGAAAACTGGAAGTATATTATCAATATTTTCCTCCCTGGATCATTTGGACAAAGTTGTTGAAATGATGCCCCACTACCCTAAATACTTACGTGTTTATTTCCTATAGTCAAGGGCATTTTCCTACACATAAACGCATTCAATATTCAAGATCAGGAAATTAGGAAACAAACAATGATACATTATTACCATCTAATCCTCATACCTATTCAAATTTTCCAACTGTCCCAAAATAACCTTTTTATAGTGAAAGACTCTAGTTCAGAATCAGGTGTTGCATTTAAACATCATGTTTTGGTAATCTCCTTCAATCTGGAATAGTTCCTCAATCTTTCCTTAATTTTCATGATTAAGTGCTCCTTGGCTCTTTGGGATATTAAAGACCAGTTACTATTTTTCAATGTTTTTCAATTAGGATGTTTCCTCATGATTACATTCTACAATATGCATCTTTGACAGGGATGTCACCGACTTGATGCCAGTTTATCATTGCATCACACCAGGAACACATAATTTTTATTTGCTCCATTACCAACAATTTAAATTTTGATCCTTGGATTAAGGTGGTGTCTGTCTAACTTCTCCATGAGAGATACTCGAGACTAAATAAAACGCTCTTGGTTAGATGTTCAATTAATACATCTATTTATATCAAATATGGATCCATGGTTTCCTATTTTATGTAATGGGTTATAATCTGTCATTAATATTATTTTGGCATTTTTATTGTGGGCCCTGATAACCCACTCTGAACCACTGAAGCCCCCCCACCTGCTGAGACAGATGCTCAACTGCTTGACTCCACCTAATGACTTTTTAGATAAAATCGTTCAGGAGCAGAGAGCAAGAGCCTAGAAAGAAAGGGAAGGGAAGGAAAGGGAAAGGAAGAGAAAGAACTATAGTATGGGGAAGAGGATGTGTTATCTGTATCCTATCATTCGTGTAGTAGGAACAAAGAAATAATCGATAAAAGTCATAACATTTCAAAAATGGAGAAGCTTGGTTTATCTCCTGAATTGGGGGCATAGAGAATATTCCTCTATCATATATCTATGATGTAGACAGAGACAGATGGAGACACACACATGGCAGACACCCATACCATAAGAAGACTAAGTAAATCAGGGGTAAGACCAGGAGCTAGCACTCCTCTTTCTCCAGCACACTAGGATTATATTTTCCCCACCCCACGCCATGACTGAAGTCAGGTTCAACTTCAAGCCATGAGTGTATGATTTGCTTTGCCAACGAAATTCAGTAGAAAGGACATAAGTCACTCCTGTATGGAAGAGCTTAATGCTGAGGCTTTGAAATCAGCAGACAGACCCTCCAACTACCTTCTTCCACTGGCATTGGGGGGTAGGTCTTCGTATGGAGGGGCATGCTGAGACATTTCGCGGAGGGCAGACTGCCTTGGAAAGTTACCCAACACCATGGCAAAATTCCCATAAGGAAGGAATAAATTTTCCTTTAAGATTTTGAGCTTCTGAGCTGCTCTTATTAATACAAGAGGCTATATAATCTTCAGTATAATGTTCAACAGTGAAGTATGACTGAGATAAATAAAAGTTAATCTTTTATTTTGTGAAGCAGCATTGATTTTGTAAGTCCAGATTAATACTTTGCACATGGGTTTGTAACTTATTTCACCAGAAAACTGTATGTCTAAACACTCAATATGTAATTTTAATAATGTGACCTTTTCCCTTAAGGTTATCACAGTAATTTCCTGATTTAGAAAATTTAGAACATGTTCGACACATACAAAACATTAATTCTTGGGGAAAAATAGAAAGACCTACTTTTGTGTAGAATTATAAAGTGTTATCTAATCAGCAGGGAAGCAAATTTTAAAACTTCCTGCAAACAAAGTTTTTAAGTAATTTTAAAAATAGCTCAAAATTGGGAGACTTATTTTGTGAAAGATAAAATGTTCCAGTGTCCAGCGAATTAATAGGTACTAAATAGTGTTTGAAGGGCAGATTCCTCTTTAAGTATCTCATATAATTATACCAGTTTTTGTAACTGTTATTAACAGAGACAAGCAGCATCGGATTCTCCCCTGACAGCTTCCTGTACGGTTTCCCTTTAAAATTATGTTTTGAATTCATGCCTTTATGATTTACCATATAAACATCCATAATTTTCCAGCACGGCCTGCTTATGATGCAGCTACTAGACTTAATTAAAAATTATTGAAGTCTCACCCTTTCAAACTAAGTGGATGATACATATCAAAGAGCAATCATAAATTTCTGCCTTTAAAGCATTTCATGACCTTTCAGTGTGAAGCATCATGTCTATAGAAATAATGATCTGGTGAGTTCTGCAAGCATGGCAAAATCTCTGCCATGTGACTCACGGGGCGAAAAGTCACGCATTACTAGTCACACAGCAAGTGTCTGCAGAGTATAATAGATTTATAGGAAGCAGGGTGACCACAGATCTAATTTTAATGAAGTCCAAGACATAATCTGAGCTGATAGAGTTTGAAGTCTGAATATAATCCATACAAGGCTAGAGTTATTGTTTGATAAGATGAGGAATGTAACTTTCTAAAAGGTTCTATTTTTTTTATTTGATTCCAGGATACACTTTTTTGGGGGTAGCAAATGGTTAAATTTATAAGGTGACCGGAAAAAGGTTTATAGACACTTTAAAGAAAATTCTAAATTTTTCTATAGGTTGACTATGTCAAGTTTGCTAAATTTTTCTCTCTGTCTTCAGACCAAGAGGGTTACATTTTTGCATAGCTATTATATTCACAGATAGCAAGTTTGACCAAATAAAAATGCTATCAGGTTTCTATCACTAAAATGTTTCATAAATAGAAAAATAAAACTGGCGGCTTAAAAACTACTCCACAATGTCTTATTTGGGGATATACACAAAGAAACACATGCATTTTACAAATAGAAATCATTAGTTATTCGTGCTAAATGTGAATGAGAAGTCATTCAGCTTGATAATGTTTAAATAATATACATCTATACTCTTGAGAAAGAACATTAAGTGATAGAACTTGATGACTTCTCTGTTTTTCTTACTCCTGTGTTATCCTCAAGAATGACAAGATTATGTATGACATCATATCACCGAGTCACACAGAGGCCAAATTAGCATTTGGATGCAAGCTTGAGAGATAATTACCAAGAGTCTTATATTTCTCGACAATAAAGCTTACAAAAGTGAGGTATGACTATATGGCAAAGCATGGTTTATTCCCCCACTAGGATGAGGTAGGTGATTAAGGAGCAGTATACTTGAAAAATGAACACAACCTACATATGAGACTTCCGGATCTCAGAGCCTATGTTCAGAAACACAAATGGCAGAAAATCCATGTAATTTTCAGTCAAGTAATAGTCATGCTGGTGTTGCTTTAAAAACAAAACAAAACACTTTTATTATTGAACATATATGCCTATTTATGAGAAGGCAGAATGTGATTTCAAAGGGAAAAACTGACTACTGCAATAGTGAAAAAATAATCACACCTGACATCTGGAATTTTGGGAGTCATTTTCATACTGTTTCACAGGTTTAGCATTCAAACTGGAAAGCAATTCTTAGGAGAGAGGAAAGGCAAAGTAAGTTTACTTTTAAAAGTGTTTCCTCTTTTATTAAAGATCTATTTTCAAGGTTAATTTTGGGGACCAGAAGTTGCTCCATAGGTCAACAGACATTAAATTTCCTTGGATTGCTGGGATTCTGGGAGTAGATTTTTTGTACAGCATCACCTTAACCCCAGAAGACCAGAAAGGAAAAAAAAAAAAAAAAAAGCCTGCCAACATCTGAAAGGAATCTAAATCCCCTTCTGAAGCTGGTGACCAATCTTACCTTCCTCACCGGCATAGGCCAGAATGGACCGTGCCCGGATCTGTTTCCCTTCTGTGGTTTTCCCTGAGCAGGTGTGTGAGCAGGAGGACCACGCAGACCACATGCTGAGCACACAGTCCTTTGGGCACGGGGCGTAACAGGCAACAGGGATGGGGAAGATGGCATCTCTGCACAGCTGTCTGTCAACTTCTTCTCCTGGGGAAGACATCATCACGAACAATCCATCATTTTTAAATAAATGTAGAATGAGCGATTGTAACCAGATGGGCACCAAAATACATTAGGTTATTTTGTTCTTAGTTAAAAACAAAGCTAAAACAAAGCCCACTACAGCCAGATGTTAAAAGAACATGAGGAACAAATATATATCCTTAAGTGAAGCTTCTTTTATTATCAGAAGCTTAGGTGTGTAGATCAAGCACAGTGCTGAAAGTATTTTTTACTACAGATAGTTGCCCAGTTAGTGACTTTTATATTTATAATATTAACCTTGCAATAAGGAGCATCAATGAATTATGTTCCCCTTTTTATTGCATTATTGGAAATGTATCATTTACATCATCTTTTACAAATAACACCTCTATCCATAGCATGCACTGTATGTTTTCATGAACCAACTCAGGTATCTCTGCAAACTCCCTGTGTCTCCCAGAGAATTTATTTTTGTATGACTGGCAACCTTTTTTCTTTCACAAACAATTACTCTGTTCATTGGAAATAGCCAAGATATGTAAATGATAGGCTAACAATATAAAACTACTGTTTAAGGGGTCCCACTGGGAGAGGGGGAGAAAAATGACAAGGTAAGCAAATGGCAGAAGATGGTGTCACTCCAGCGCTTAAAACTCTTCAGTAGTTTCCTGTTGCTCTTAAGATAGAGATAAGAGTTCTTAAATGTTTACAAGACCTCAAACGACTTGGCTCTGGTTTCTCTTCCCAGCTTCATCTCAGTCCACTCCCTCCCTTGCCCAGAGAGCTCTAGAAATTGGCATTGCTTGAGTATTTGTTGAATGAATACGATGAGATTATACAAAAGGCCAATGAGCAAAAAAACGTCTTTGTGGTTAATGAATGCCAAAGATAACTAAAAGGATTACAAATAAATGACCAAAATAGAATATGAAATGAACTCTATGCTTTCGCTGGTTAATGTAGGGTGCCAATGACGTCAGTGTAACCGAGCAAAACAATACACACACAAGCAAAAATTGATCTACTATTTTGCCACAAAACATGACCATAATTCTGCAAAAATATATCACAGATGTGTGCCTTGGGCCATTACACTTTCAGGTGAGAAAGAGTGACTAATTATGCTACTCTTCATTGCTATTAGAAAAACAACTCAAGAGATGTTTTTCACTGATGGAAGGCTAGGAGCATTGTGTTAATGTCCTTTATTCATATATTTGAAAAACAAGACAGAAAATCAGAAGTCAATTGGAAATGCTCTAACAGGTTAATAGCTACTAGTTTGCAGGGCCTTAAATCATTAGACACAATCAGAAGTCAAGTGGAACATTAATAAGCCACCAGTTTGCAAGGCTTTATCTTTTTTTTTTTTTAAAGATTTTATTTATTTATTTGAGAGAGAGAATGAGATAGAGAGAGAGAGCATGAGAGGGGAGAGGGTCAGAGAGAGAAGCAGACTCCCTGCCGAGCAGGGAGCCCGATGCGGGACTCGATCCCGGGACTCCAGGATCATGACCTGAGCCAAAGGCAGTCGCTTAACCAACTGAGCCACCCAGGCGCCCAGTTTGCAAGGCTTTAAATGATTAGATTTGCTCTCTAGTCAGTAAGACTCACTGAAATGACAGTGGACTCATCATTATATCATTCAATCTTTAGTTACTGTGATCTGTGGGATCTCTTTAATTCTGCTTTTATTGGCTTTAGGGTTTGGCTTACAACCCAGTAAAACAATATAAAGATAGATTGTAGAAGGTAGAGTACAAAAAGCATTATAGTACAAGGTATTTAATATTTTACAATTTACATAATAATGATGACTCCTTTTCCTACTAAACTTTTTTCTGAGTGCAAGAGGGGACTTGCATACGTCTTATTTTCTTCATTGCTACTTTTAATGTTCTATCTACTCTCTTTCACTTTTGTTTCTAACGTCCTGTGAAAAGTAAGGCAAGTTTGCGGCTATAGCCTATAATCAACCAGGAATTACAGTTTTATTTCTTCTCATAGTTACTTAATCATTTCTACTCAGAAAAATTTAATTTATTCTGCAGCAAATGAAAGTGTGCTACGTGGGTGCTATTATAAAATTTTTTTTTCATAGCATAAGTGGCCTATTTCTCTTTCTTGTAGTGTAAAGTTAAGGGATGTACAATTTCAACCTTTCTTGCTTTAGGAGTTATTCTTTTTTTTTTTTTTTTTCAACCTGTGTCCCACACCTTATGTTAGCTCTTTTCATTCGTCTTGTTCTGCTTAGCCAGGCGTATTTTCCTGTAAACACCTTCCTTCTAGCGTACATCTTAACTCTCTGTGGAGCTATTAAAACCCACCTTGGATCCAACCTCTAAATTCCCTTAGATTTCAGCCCTTACTGCACTCCTCCTGACTTTGCCAGGTAAGCCCCTGCCCCTGATTGCTCATCATTGTCTTGCATCCAAATAATGGCATTCTGTTCTAGCCACAGTGCTTTTTCCCCCTTTTCTCCTACACACTGATCTCATCACTGCCTCAGGGACTTGACATTCTCTCTTCATTTTGTTTAAAAATTTTAGATCTCATGACAGACTACTTTTCAATATTCAGGCTTCAGTTCAATTGTCTCCTTTCTAGAGGAGGCTTCATTGGCCATATACAATCTCACAGTAACTGCATTTTATTTTCATTATAGCTTTAATCACCACCGGAAACTATTTTAATGAACTGTTTACAAGTTTACCTTCTAACCCTACCACTAGATTAAAAACCCAATGAGGGCATGATCTTTATTTCTCTTGTTATTTTATATTTAAAGCCTAAAACAGTGCCTGGTACATAATACAGGCACTAAATAATAAATACAGATACTAAATAATCTTTTGCTAAATGAACAAATGAATTGATTAATTTTAACCCGTTGTATCAGGAAACAGAATGCTGGATTAGACAAATATGGATTTAAGTACAGTATTTCTTAAACTGCCATGCACTCAAGTGCTCTAGGACTTTGTTAATGTGTATTCAGTGGGCAGGCAGCGTAGGCACCCCCTGGAGTTTGCTAGAAATGCAGTCTCCCAGATCTCATCCACTAAATCATTATTCGCATTTTATAAAGATCCCCAGGTGATCTGTGTGCACATAAAAATCTGAGAAACATTGCACTAGAATTTTTCTGCCTTTCTTCTCTTCTGTTTTGAATAGGACCAGACTGCTTCTTGAATGAGTAGCTACAGATTCATCTGGATTTCATACCTAACATCAGTCGTTTCTCTGTGGGACTTCCCTCTAGACTTCTCTTTAAACAGGGTAAACTTAGATGAAAACATTCAATGAGTAGTTACTGATTGCCCATCTTTTGTCAAGCACTGTGCTATGAATATTGCATACATCATCTCAGCTAATTGTCACCACAACATTTTTTTTTGAGGTATAATTGACGTATAACATTATATTAGTTTCAGGTGTACAATGTAATGCTTTGATATTTGTATATATTGTGAAATAATCATAATGAGTCTAATTAACATCTGTCTCCATATACACTTATAATTTTTTTAAGTGATAAAGACTTTTAAAATCTACTCTCTTAGCAACTTTCAAATATGCGTTACAGAATTATCAACTAGAGTCTCCATGCTGTACATTACATCCCCATGACTCATTTATTTTATAACTGGAAGTTTGTACCTTTCACAACAACCTTCTGACATGGGCTAACATCTAATTTTTACTTTAAAGGAAACTGAAGCACAACAAGTTTACTGTCTCAAAGAGCAGAAGTTTAACTAAGGAAGCAGAGATCTGAACTTAGTTTTAACCAATTCCCAATCTACTTTTAACTGGCATGGTGGTAGGGAAAACTCGGGATGCCAAGAGACTTAATAATGGATGAGACTTTGTCTACAAAGAAGTCCAGAAACTGGCACTCCTAGTTATTTCTCGGACACAGTGAAGCATAGTGGCGGCCATATTCTGTCTCAAATACAAAGAGTAGGCATGTTGACATGTCCAAGGTTACATGTTTTTGCTTATAGCCACTGAAAAAAAATGACAATGGATCTATGAAAATATGAAACTGTTTAGATCTTTGACTTTGCTTTCAATGGGTGCTTTAATCAACTCAACTCATTGACCACTAACTGGAACCCTTAGGCAGTGTGCTCTTTTAAGCTAAATGTCCAGGAGCACTCCAGGCACAAGTCATCAGGGAAACATTAGGGGAGAAAGAAACGCTGGGTTTATGGCTATCACAGGTAATTCCATAATTTGTGATTTTCAACCATTTCCTATGAGTGCAACTTCTATCTTATTTTTAATATAAAAAGTGACCCTGGAAATAAAGTCTTTACCTAAAAGTGCTTTGGAAGATAATTTCATCCGTCTTCTTCACATTAAAACTTGTTTTTGATTGATAAACACTATTTTAATTAGGTAAGAACTGTTTTGCATGACATTATTTCAGAGAATGTATGGTAGTAAATTAAACATGTACATATCCAAATATCAGGTTAATTTATAGTCTTTCCATATCGAGGAATGAAAATTTTGCTGCTGAGCATTTTGGAAATTCCATTTTTCCATATCTATTACCCTACTGTTAGGACACTTTCAACTACCATATGTCCCCCATTATAGAACCTTTTGAGACTTGGATTATCTGTATGCGCATCCAAATAAATCTGGGCAGATAAATCTAATTATCATTATTTTGAATGATGTGGTTCTACAGCTCATTTAGGTGTAGACCAATGCAACCTGTTTTTCTTTCTTTAGTCTTTCTGAGGACAATTTCTTAGCTCGATCCTGGACATGATGTCATAAGCGTTTAGAATCTGCACACTTGCCATTGTATATTAAATATGCTATATTTTTTTGGCATACATGTTCCAACATAAAATTTTCAAAGGACTGCTTTATATTTATATGACTTGTATTTTCCCCCCATAAAGCTCTAGGCCTCTTAAGCAAACCTACAAAAATGTACATTTTACATGAAACATGTAACACAGAAAGAAATGAATGAACCATTG